GACACTGCCAGGGCATTTTCCCATTCTAATTTTAGGAATCTTGCCCGTGTATCCTTGCTGCTTGTAGAAGGCACCTCAGATCACTAACCTGGTAACTTAGTTTCCCTGGGTGAGAACCTAAAGTTGTGTGTGACAAATCTGGGCCTGGATGGTGAAGCCCAGTGTCCCTTTGTGTCCATTAGCAGAGTTTTGCAGGCTCCTGGCACCTCCTCTGAAGGATCTCAGCTTCACCCACCTGAAGTTTGGCTGTGTGAATACACTCCATCCTGCACTCCTGAAAAATCAGTGCAGAAGGACTTAATTCTCTTAGTTGGTGTCTTAAAGAAGTTTGGAGCAACACCCTGTTTTGGCTGATGGAAATGTCTGAGACCACAGGAGATGCTCCCATCTCCCAAAGTCCTCTGAACAAGGAGCCCCAACAAGTGGAGAGACCAATTTTTAAAAATATTTTTAGTATGTAGAAATTTAATTACCAAAAATTTGTGAGGAGGGTTTAGTTTTGGTTAAAAAAAAAAAGAGATATTTCCTGAAATATTGTTGAAAAGGTATAAAATAAGATTACTGGTAAAGTAAGTGTGTGTGTGTGTGTGTGTATAAGCATGCTACAGAATTCTTTTATCTCACTGAAAGACATTTGATACTTATTAAAAGATTATTGCTTTAAGGCATATTTTGATTTTCTGCCTAAGACTGTGTGGAGAGTCTTGCTACTGAGATAATAACAAAGAAACCTTAAACATGAAAAAAATACCCACATGAAAGATAATATGTTCCCTATTAGTACTGGTATCATTTTCCGTGGGATTACTTCTCTCCAAATATAACAGAAGTTTAAAAGTAAAAGCCCATTTCCAGTAAAAAGAGATACCACACTGTAGTTTTGAACTTTTTTTTTTTGGTATTCAAAACTGCTGGTGTGTGATACTTCATTAAGCAATTATCAAGTGACTATTTACTTCAAAAATTTATTTACAGTTTCAAGATCTATGCTAAGGAGAATACAATCAACCATGCTGCATATATCAAGACATACAGAGTTAGACAAATCTATTAGACATGCCCCAACAATGCTTTTAAAACTTGAGAAAGCTACACTTTTTTTCTGCTCTTAGATGAAAGTGTTTTGGGGAGCTGAAGAGCAATCATGTGCAATTTTAGAATGATTGAAACCTTTTAGAAACTTGTATATGTATTTGATGTATTTTTATACATATATGTATTTGATGTGTGTGTGTTTTCACTTTGGTGTTTCTAGTCTCAGTTTACAGCACCTTGCTTTCTGCCTTCAGACTTTGCAGAAAGCTGGAGAGTCAAGCATAATGTGGGTGGAAGAAAATTTCAATCAATAAGATGGCACAGCTGTAAATATAAGGTCCTTTTAGCTGCAAAACTGTTAGTTTAGAGGAGTACTTTAATTTTTATTGAAGGTAATTAAAGTCCATTTGAATTGATCTAGGTGCAGGATATGATAACCTTCTTCAGAAAAAATTACAGTATATAAAACTAAATAAACAGCATGGAAGCAAAAGACAATCCCAAATTTACAGATCCTTCCTACTGTACAATGTACTGAAGTTTAAATACCACATGAATAATCCCCTGAGCAGGGAGACATTTTAAATATATTTCTGATTATTGAAATGGCACATACAACTCACTTGCCGGTGAAAATGTGAAAATATATTATTTGCTCAGAAGCATTTACGCATTAAGATTAAGACAAATATTTTCTGTGTTATGACCTACACTTATTTCAACAACATCTATCACTAGAATAACTGCATTGCCTGTACGAACACGTATATTCTCATTTGTATGAACATCGATGAGCAGGTTATGTAGAACATATTTAGAAGAAGAAAAAATAAATAAATAAAGCTGCATTTTTTTTTTCTCACAGAACAGAAAGGTTAAGGGATCATTGAGTGAGGCAAGAAGTTCTTTGGCATTAGAGGGAGACTGCAGATCAAGAGAATAATATTTTAATAGCAAAATAAAATCTCTTTTACATTCAGTACTTCCTTTGTTTCATCCAGGACACTAGGCTTTAGAAAAGGGACACAGCCCTAGGAATGTAGCAACCCAAACCCCATTAAACATGCATGGGGAAGATTTCCAGCCTGCTGTGCAGGGAGTTACATGCCCAGGCTCTGTTAACAACAGTAATTGTGCATATAATTTCCTGTGCGTTGCTCTGAAAATTCACCCTACAGACTTTAGCTCCATGTCAAGTAACTCAGCAGCCATTTATTATATTCTGAGGGTGGAAACCAGAACTTTGAAACTGCAGGATGGAAGCGGTCGCCTTTGCTCCCCTCCCTTTCTCACACTTTCCCCAGCTACGATCAATGGAAGGGAAGTTCTGAGGACCAGGTCTTCAGACAAAGCGGGGAGCACATCTCCAAAGGATGCAGAGTCTCCTGTGTGGTGATGGCTCCCTGTACCTGGTCTGGGCTCTGCAGGACTCATATTGGTCCATGCTGGGGTCAGTAGATGTCTGCTTGCAAACAGACCTCTCTGGACCTTGTTTTCACCTCCCGGGATCTCGCAGAGGCCCGGAGAGAGCAGTCCACAGATGGGTGGCCCATTGAGGAAAGGCACAGCTGCAGCGTGGTGCAGGGCTCATACCCACGGGGGCCAGAACAGGGGAGAACTGACTGCTCTCACATGGTAGAAACAAATAAGCTTGCCTAAAGTGACAGACTCAAGGTGCTTTGATAGTGGGTTTGAATCAGACTATTAAGTTGCGAGTGGCTGATCTCAGAGAATGGGCTGGTGCTGGGGTCCTCACGGGGATTCTGGAAAAGGAGAATTGCTAAGAAAAGTTGCTAGGACAGAAGGTTCAAATGAAGCTCTGAGAGGAAGAGTTTGGAGTAGGAAATCCAGCTGAAAGTGCCCCAGTACCAGGCACAACTGTGAGGCATGTCAAGCACACAGCTGCCCTGGAAAGTTTAGAGTTTTATGGGATCGAACCATAGAATAACTGCAATAAAAACTTTCTGTCCTGGAAAAACAGCAAAATGCCAGGTTGCCTTCCCTGGCAGACAATCAATTAGAAGTTTGGCTCCATCTGCTCACAAAAGAGCGAAAGCAGAAAGCAAAATGGAGAGTAGATCTGAGGACACTGCAGAATCAGGGAAAGCCATGGAGGTAATTTGCTGCAGGAGAAGATCTCATAGTAAATTACGTTGAATAAGACGACCCCCTCCATCCCCGTCAAGTCCTCTGTACTTGGATGCTAATTAAAAATAGTACACAATCATCCACATAAGTACATACACGCTCAAGCATCCATAACCCCAGTCTGACTGCAAAACTAAAGAATCCCATCTTCTCTAGTGTGCTCCTCACCAAACCACCCCCTCAGCTGCTCTTGCCACCAGAGGGAAAGGACTGGGGGAAAAAGCAGAACAAAACCAAGATGGTCTTGGCACAGTGTGCCCACAAGGTTAGGCTGTGATCCACTAATGAATAAGGTTCTCCAGGGAACAATCCCACATCAGTAGGTGGAATGGCTAATCTAATAGGTTTCTTCCATATCTAAATCCTATAATGGTGTAACTTGCAGCAGGGAGCATGTGATCACTCTTTGAATAAGCAGTGGGAGGGGAAAGGATATGTTTAATGGCCAGAATTAGTTTCCTTACATTGGTTTCCTGAGCCATTGTGCAGAATATGCAGCCTAAGAGTAGTGCGAGAATTTTTTTTTTTTTTTTTTGATTTTGAAATGGGTACACATCAAATACACCCATCCCCCAGTCACAAGAAAATTCTCGCCACATGCTTCTGTCCTCCAGACTTACACAGCATTTTATTGTATGGAACACATCAAAAGGGTTTGGTTCCCTTGTAAAAGTTTTACAGGAAAATCATTGAAGAGCAGTGTAACTTTTTTTTTTTTTTTTTAATTCAAAACTAGAACCAATATTCTGGATTCCCACACTTTGGTGTGGACTCAGAGAGAGCTGTGCTTTTCTGTACAGTAGAGCAGAAATACAGACCCTGTATAATTAGAATTGCAGTCATGGCCTGTGGGATCTAGTGATTTGGACATATTTTATTTAACCAGCTTAGTAAAAGGTAATATTCAGCAGCTGTGATCTATAGCAGAATTACAATTTTCAGGGTCAAGGAGGGATTTTGATATTAGGAGGTTGGGCAGAATTGCTGTAAAATCTCATGAGCTGTCGTTAAAAATAAATGAGAAAATAGGTTATCCAAGAGTCATTGTAAGGGAAAAATCAATAGGCAGTGCCTATTCACTTGGGCTATCAAAATCCTTGAAATTTGAACAAAAGTTTCACGTTTAGTGTGCTGTAGGTTTTGAAATGTAAGTGGTGAATGCTCTGTGGGTACAAATTCATTGTGCTGTGCATTCAAACAAGGAGAAACCCTTCTGAAGTTCTGGAGTTCTCTATTAAGATAGTATAGTTCCTCCGTCACTAAGTCAGACGTGTAAAACAGTTGCCAGTGAAACTTCAGAAGCAATTTTAGCTAACTGATGACAAACTCTGTCTTGGAAATATATCACATTTCTTTATCTCACCTTGCTCCTCTGGGGTTCCCTCCTGCCTCTGGCTCCCAGTGGATGGGGAAAGCGGCTGCAGCCCTGGAGCCCGGGCAACTTTCTACAAGCGCACTCGCCTGCTGCGAAACTGTGAACGATGGAGATTGGAAATGAGCATTATTGATAATTCGGAGCAGTGCACATAATTGATATGGAAAGGGAGTATCATCCTCATTCAGAAACAATTAACTTCCCCTTCCAACACAGCAGTTCAAAGAAGCCTCAGCCTTTTAAATATGAATGAGTATAACTTCAAAATATGCAACTATTAGCTATTACAATATACACATGGAGTATGACTTTTTTTTTTTTTTTTTTTTTGTAGCTACCAAATTTAAGTGTGTCATGGATGCAGATGTGCAGGTGCATAAGTCGTGCATGGATTCCAATCAGTTAGAAATGGGGAGGGGAAAATGAGAAGTCTACACTGCTATCGGATTTTATTATTTTATTTTAGCCACAGTCTGATACAGTCCAAAAGTCCAGTTAATTCTTGGTTCAAAAGACAGATAACTGAGACTTGACAGAACATACAAGAATTAGAAGAACACACTCATTGCAAATGGACATCCAAAAAGAAAATCTTTCCCCAAAGCTTAACAATGCCAAGGAACTCAACAGAATCTTCTGCAGAAGCCCAGTGAAGATTTGTACATTGTTAATTTGATTGCAGAGGGTGCATGTTAAATAGAAAAGAACGGAGTTTGTCACTGTCATCTGAATCCATTCAGTCAGTGCAACAAAGGTATATTTAACTAAAATATGAAACAGACTTGCTAACACTGCATTATTTTCTCAGGCTTACAAAGTTAAAAAAAAAAAATTAAACTGAATATAAATGACTTTGAGCATTTTTTATGACACCCACAGCCTAAGTGATCCAGATAATGTAATCTAACCATCATTAGAAACCATGAAATTACAATTCCTCCGGGATGGATATTTATCTCTCTGTTACATACAGAAAGGCGATTAATTAGTAGCTCTTTCAGTGTTTAACATTACTGTGTACTGAGGCTGATTAAAATCTAACTATAGAACAGCTATCATAGGTAACACGTAATCTGGGGAAAGTTTAGCTGGGGCATGAAGCAGCACCTTAAAAAGAAAACTTAAAAATGTACTCTTAGAAGTAGGTAGCTTCAAAGCCAAAACCCAGGCTTCCTTCTAATTTCTATTACACACAGTAATCATGACAATTACTGAGATTTCAAAAACCTCAATATTAAAAACAACTAAACCCACGTCAAGTATTTTTGCAAAGCTGTAAAATTCACAGGATACCCATTAGTTTTTGAGGAATGTATACAGCACACAGTCATGAAGTGAATCAGACAGCAGTGTCTTGAATGGCTTATTCTGAAATTTAAATGGAAGTGATTGCTGGGGCGTGTGTGCGTGTGTGTGTGTGTGTATGTGTATGTACCCTGTACAGACAGCACAGTGCACACACATTGTGTGGGCTAAATTCATATTTCTGGTGTAATTTCACTGGCTTGTGTGGAATGCACCAAAGATGTGTCAATGTGTGTGCACAGAAAATTTCCTCCAGAATCTCATAAGGGACAAGAGGACACGGATAATTTCACTTTGGGAGGAATAGAGTCAACTTTAGTAGGTTTGTTTTCTAGGGCATTCTTACTGTGAATGAAAATATTGGAGGAATTTCATGCAAGGGCAGCTGAAATACCAAAAAAATCCTAAATCACTAGTTGTTATTTTGAAAATAATTTCCTATTTTGGCATCACTGTACCTAGGTATGTACCCTAATAGGTTTGGGCTGGTTGAGAAGATGAAAGAAACTTTAAAAACAAGTGTGAACAGCTCAGCAAAAAGACCAAGGTAACCCTGGCTTTATTTAATTCTGTGAAACTATGAGCTGAGACCATAAATCAGTATTGGTCATAGATCACATTTTAGTGAGGATACACAGAAAGAAATTAGAAATACTTCTAAAATGAAGTGCAAAGAAAGGACAGTTTACCACCCCCACACCCCTCCAGTTCAGGTCCCAAAGAACTGAGCCACTGATTCCTAATCCTCTCCATTGTGTCGAGTATTGTGTAGATGCTGCTCTCTTCTGGCTGCCTACACAAATTTTAATATGCAAAATGTTAATAAAAAGTGAAATAAAAGGCTGAGAAAAATCAAACATGGCCTCAATGAGCCGAGGGCAATGGAGGCACCTCCGAGGCCTCACTATGGAGAGGAGACCCATCCCCAGCCACTTTGTAATTCTGTTCCAACAGCGCACTGACCAGGAGCTCCTCCAAAAGTCCCCTCCTGTCTTCCTAAGTATGTCACTCAGGATGGCCCAAGTTCATATTTGGAGACAAGGGGAAGGCATGCTCTTATTTTTTATGCTGGAGATGGCCAGCACTACCATGCAGGGCACGGGGCACAGCTATTAATGCTGCTGGGGTTGTGTGTTCAGCCATTTCACGCTTCGTGACAAGATGAGTAGCAATAGTGCAGGTTTATATTCTTCCAAAAACTGGACAACTGAAATCCAGTGAGAAAATTAAAAAAAAAAACAAGCAACTTTTAAACTCTCAAGTGACCATTGCAACAGGACTAGGATCGTCCAGCCTACCCAGCACAACCAGGCTACCCAACCGAGTGTATCACTGGTCACATACCCCCTGCTCCAGAGGAGAGGAGGAGCGAGATTCCTTTGAGTAGGTTGGAGGGAGGAAAGAAGAAGTGACTATGGCACCCCACTGCTTCACTGTGGGATGCAACAGGGAAGGACATTATTGAGGTCCAAGGTGACCCCAGGACGGTTGACTTCTTTCCACCCCCCAGCTCCAGTGCAGCTCCACACAACGTGTGTGTCCCTGTCAGGCACCTCGGACCACGCTCTCAGAAGACTTCCTCAGGCACATCTAATGGCCTTGATGGGTCATTCCTGTTCTTCAGAAGAGGTGCTACACTTACTGCTCCATCCATCTCCTTTGCCCATGTGGTAACATCATGTAACTGTTGCCTGAGAAAAGGCTGCTCCGAGGGCAGGTGGGACCTTGGAGGCAGCGTGAAGTTCAGACTGTCCCTAGGCACCCAAGTCACCAGCCTGAGCTTCAGGATAGCTCAGGCACTGCATGCAAGCCAAAATAGCTCATCTTAAAGACAGAGGAAATCAACCAACGTGGACTTAAACCCGTGCTAATTTGTCATCCTTCCTAAGGTTTCTTCTTAATAGATAAAATTTATCTGTAACCCAAGGGACAACATCTGGCTATGCTTGATGTCACTGAAGCCCCAGCAGTCACCCAGGTGGAACACAAGGCCTGGGCTGAAGTCTAATGAAGGTGAGAAGTGTTTTTGCTGGCAAGAGACCAACTGCTCTTGATGGAAGAAGATGTGAGCTCTGCTGCCATGCGCTTGCGTGGCATCGGTTTGCATCTGCTGTGGGAAGGAGAGGAACCACAGTCCTCACAGCGTCTGCGGGACTTGCAGGGATATCTGTTACAATTCATTAAGTAGTGCTCTAAGAAGTTACAATAATAACATTTCAACAGAGTTTCCAGAGGGAGTCTCAGAAACTACAGGAAAAGCCGACAAGTTTCAATCCATTTATCAAAGCACTTCAAGACAGATGAAACAGCAGAGCTGCTTAGTGAGGAATGTCTCTCTTTCTGGGTGTCCAGAGCATTTCAGTAAATAAAAAGCTCTTTAAAAATAAGTCAATACAATGGAATCCCTTTTGCCTTTTGCCAGCGCTTGTATTACACTTACACCCAAATGACCGTCCTACCTATAATACTGCAGCATTTACATACACATCAAATGGGTGCTTTTCACTTACATAATACATTTAATCCAAGGATTACAGAGCACATAATATATTAAACATTACAACACCTCGTGAGGCAGGTTAGCATTAATGAAGTTGCAGTGGGTAAACTGAGGCACAGGCTAGCTTTATGACATGCCTGTGGTCCCACAGGCAACCAGCGGAAAAGTCATTAAAACGCTCATCAGACAAACAGCAGACACACATATGCACATACTTTTATGGGTAAAATAGACTAATTCACATTTTTAAAAGCAACTTTAGCTACCCATCTGGAGACACTCAGGTCCTGATTTTCTGAAGGTAGGAGAACAAAAGGCAAATAGGAGAAGGTAAAAAGAATGGAAAGCAAATATTTGCTGTTAGAAATATTTTTTTTTTTTGTATGCCAAATTGTGTACGCAAAACAAGAGGCATCCAAAACTGAAGGACACTTTAGATGCTGGTCTCCAATAATTTGATTTTCTGAGTAAAGATTTTTCTAGACCTGCAACAGGGGTTTTGTTAGGATTTTGTTCAATAACGTCGGTTTATATTTAGCTTTCGTATAGCAGATAGAGAAAAAAAAAAAAACTTTGGTTAAGGTCTTTGAGCCAAGCATCTAGGATAAAATTTTCAAAAGCACTCAACAGTGGCTTTTGAAAACAGAATTAGGCTAGTTGCTGAGACAAGCTTTGAAAGCTACCCCCTACCTCCTTTAGCATTTTGACTGAGAGCTGATTTCCTTGGTTATGGTACTGTTCCTCGTTTTAGTCTCCCCATCTCATGGCCTTCACCAGTATCGCTAAGTCAAGTTGGATTTAAAACCAGGAAAACAAGCAGGAGACTGGGTGATGTGGGAGCTTGTGGTCATGACCTCCCCGGCATGTCTGCCGCCTGAGGGTGGTGTAGCTGGACACAGGGATGCTCCCTGGGTGGCTCCCACTTTCCAACCAGCCTTTGTTCTCTTTGTGGGAGCACTGGCTAATAGAGGTGTACACCCTCCGCCTGATGGTTAGGTAAGGCTATAATTATCTCAGTAATGAAGGTCTGATTCTTCCCTGCTCTGCACCTCCTCGGCTGGTCAGGAATACTTGTCTAAAGCAGGTGCAAAATGCTACCAGATCAGAAAGATGACATTTTACATCAATGGAAATGACCAGGTGTAAGGAACAAAGGCCTACATAACAATGCTCTCAACTCTGTTGTCCTTTAATTAAGTAGTTCCTTGGGCAATGACACTAATGAGGCCTTGTTTCCTCAGGGTTGGATTCTCTAGTATCTAAATGGGATGTGAGCTTTTCCTGGGGAGAGAGGCATTTATAATTTCTCCCTCCCAGGTAGCGTCCAATTTGGGTTGATGTCATGCTGCAGCCTTTCTCTTGGTGGGGACACTAGTGGGACTTCTCTCCTCTTGGCTGCTCATTTTCCTGAAACCTACAGGAATTTTTGAGAGCTCTGCTTTTCTATTAAATTTGGCTGAATTTGGTCAAAGGGCTCAAAGTTAGCAGGGGATAGGAAGACAAATGCATCAAACGAGACAGAGAAAAGTCATAAACCCATTCCTATTAAGAAGATAAGGTTAAATATTATTTTTACTTACAAATAAGTTTTCTAGTTGTACGGTAAACTCATAGGGCTTTTTTTTTTTTTTTTTTTT